CCCCACCCACAACACACATCTCACAGGGATGCCTGCACACACACACACACACACACACACACACACACTGCTGTATAAACAGTGTGCAGCTTTAATGAGTCTCTGTTTAGTGACTCAGTTTGTCGGACCTGAACCACTTCCTGCTCAGACTCTGAGACCACAGACTGACCCAGGATCTGGTCTGGTCCTGGTCTCATGTCACATGTTTTTACTTTCACTCCTGTTCAGACAAAGAAGTCAGGATTCTCTAGTTCAAAGACTGAAACCTGAATCAGATCAGTATTTGCTGTGACCCCCTTTGTCTTGTGTGTGTGTGTGTGTGTGTGTGTGTGTGCGCTTGTCTGTCTGCAGGTGTGTTGTCGTCCTCCTGAATCCTCGGAAGAACAAACAGCATCACATCTTCAACAGCTCCAGGTAAAACCTCATCAGCCAATCAGCTGCCAGCTCCAAACAAAAGGTCACATGAGCACATGAACACAAACACATGAACTCATGATGTTGATCTTCATTCAACCATTTTAAAGGAATCCTACTCTGTGCTGTAAACAAAAGATTTAATGTTTTTTTATGTTTGGCTGCCACAACTACAGCTCCCATGAGTCATTGCGGTCAGAGACTTTCTGTGGTTCTGATGTCAAACAGTGACGTTGTCATGTGACCTCTGTGTGTTTACAGGAAGGCCATCACCACGTTGGCCTTTTCTCCAGATGGGAAATATGTTGTCACAGGAGAGGTGAGTCTGCTGCTGGTTTACAGCTGTGTGAACATCTGGATCGGACTGATCGGTTTATTCATGGATCACACTTATTGATTTATATCAATGAAACAGTTTGTCTTTTATCTGCTTCACTGTTTTTATTGTTTCTTTATATATTTTCCTTCACCTGAACGATTAGAAACATTCACAGGTTTCTGCAGAGATGTGTTTACATTTCATTTAAATACAACCCCCCCCCCCCCCCCTCCTCCCCCCTCAGAGCGGTCACATGCCAGCAGTGCGGGTGTGGGAGGTGTCAGAGCGTCTCCAGGTGTCTGAGCTGCAGGAACATAAATATGGCGTCTCCTGCGTGGCGTTCTCTCCCAATGGAAAGTACATCGTCAGTGTGGGATACCAGCACGACATGATGGTGAACGTGTGGAACTGGAAGGTACCTGAGCTGCACTGACACACCTGTCACAGGTGGACTTCACACAGAAATTATGACAAAACTTCACACAAATGTTTAATATTTGATCTGACTCTGGATGAAGCTGAAGCTAGTCCGAGTGGAGGAGGAGGTGATTCTAGTTTTATTGAAGTGTGTATCTACAGATGTGTACCTGTGCAGGTGTGTTAAACACCTTTACTGTGTAGGTTATGTGCAGGTTTTGTTTCATAATCACTTCTTGACTTTAAACATTAAACATTGACAGGGACAGTTTTGTCTCTATTGTTCAAAAGTCAAAGTTAAAATAATGAAAAACATCAGATGATGTTTGTTTACCTGCTGACAGGTGTTGTTGTTGTTGTGTCTGTTTAACAGAAAAACATCGTCGTTGCAGCCAATAAAGTTTCCAGTAAAGTGACGGCCGTCTCCTTCTCAGATGACAGCTCCTACTTTGTTACCGCCGGCAACCGCCATGTCAAATTCTGGTATCTGGACCACGGCAAGACCTCCAAGGTTCACCTGTCAACCACTCACCTGTTGGTCAGAGGACGCTGCACTGTGACTGTGTGTGTTAATCATTCTGTGTGTGTCCAGGTCAACGCCACTGTCCCGCTGCTGGGGCGTTCAGGGCTGCTGGGAGAACTCAGGAACAACTTCTTCAGTGATGTGGCATGTGGGCGGGGCCGACAGGCCTCCTCCACCTTCTGCATCACCTCCTCGGGTCTACTGTGCGAGTTCAACGACCGGCGACTCCTCGACAAGTGGGTGGAGCTCCGGGTGAGTCAGAGCGCTACGTTTACAGAGGTAGAGGTAGAGATATTTCCACGACATCTCCAGCTGCTCAGGTGAGGACGGTCTAGTCCTGAAGGAGGTGTGGTCTGAGGATGATGATGTCAGAAATTGAAGCTCCTGTGCTGCAGGTTCTGATCATGACTGTAGTGATAGATGTGACGCAGTGTCCCAGTGGTCACTGATGGTACTGCAACGACAGAAAAGACGTCAGTTATAAACAGAAGGTGATGACCAGAGGCGACAGTATGACCACACACTCACTGGGCGGTTGTAATATTGTGATATATGACATAATATATGACTTAAAATAATATGAACATAATATAATATATAACAATGTCAGTCAAGTCTCAGATGATTTGTTATTGTGCTTAGGGAGCAGTTTCCTCTGGACTGAATTTTCATATTTCTGTTTAAACGCCCTCTAATGTCCCTGTACTTCCTCCTCCTGCTTCCTCCTTTGTTTCTTCCTCTGTTTCCTCCTTTGCTTCCTCCTCCTGCTTCCTCCTGTGTTTCCTCCTTTGTTTCCTCCTCTGTTTCCTCCTGTATTTCCTTTTCTGTTTCCTCCTTTGTTTCCTCCTCTGCTTCCTCCTGTGTTTCCTCCTTTGTTTCCTCCTCCTGTTAACTTCTCTGCTTCCTCCTCTGTTTCTCCCTGTATTTCCTTTTCTGTTTCCTCCTCTACTTCCTCCTCTGTTTCCTCCTCCTGCTTCCACCTGTGTTTCCTCCTCTGCTTCCTCCTGTGCTTCCTGTCAGAGAGTCGACTCCGCCTCAGTAAGTCGTCATCTCACCTGGAATCAGTCGCTTCAGACGCTCAGACACGCCCACTTTGTTCCTCTCACCTCATTGGTCGATTTTACAGCACGCTGCTGCCACTCATAACCAACTCTACACCTGATTGGCTGAGTGATGTATCACCCTGTTCACCCTCCACACCCCCATTCACAGAGGACCATGAACGCAGCTTTAGTCACCTCCACTGATGTCCAGCAGCTACTCACTGTCTACAGTACTGACTGTAGTACTTACTGTAGTACTGACTGTAGTACTGACTCTGCAGTACTGACTGTAGTACTGACTCTGCAGTACTGGTGGTGGAGGCGGAGCAGCAGCTCAGAAACACCACCGTCTTTGTGTGACCCTCCACCCTCGTACATTCTCTGACTTCATTGACTTTCTCGGTCTTTATTTCAGAGAACAGAGACGAGTTCAGTCCGTTCAGCTGGAGCCTCGTCACGTCTCACATCCTGCCACGAGGCCTGATCAACTTCTGACTTTTATTTTGAAGGCTATACCTTAGCCTCCGATGACAGCTTCCTACAGGAAGGAACATGTAGGAAACACGAAGTAGATAGATAGTCGGACTTTTACACATTTCTGCAGCAGATCTGAGTCGGGGTCAGAGGTCACAGAGAGAGTCATGGCGGTGTCATTATGCGCCTGAGGTCATGTGATGAATGAGGAAACAATCAGAGGAGGCGGAGACTGAGCGTCAATCAGACAGTAGACTGACACAGATCACTCATCAAATTCATTTTCCACTGTCCCAGAGTCTGGACTGAAAGGCTCCCAGGACACGCCCACTCTCATCCACTCACCTCTGTACTTCTACACCTGTGAGGACCGGGGAGGTCTCTGACATCATAGCTTTGACTTCAAGCTCTTTCTAATTAGGGCTGAACAATGTAACTGTGATTATTTTCTATCAATTAAGACCTTTACTGTAGAGCCAGAATCTGTCAGTGTGTTCGAACATTCATTATACACATCATACACATCATACACATCATACACATCATACACATCATATACATCATATACATCATATACATCATACACATCATACACATCATACACATCATACACATCATACACATTATATACATCATACACATTATATACATCATATACATCATACACATCATACACATTATATACATCATACACATCATATACATCATACACATCATACACATTATATACATCATATACATCATATACATCATATACATCATATACATCATATACATCATCATTCAGCCCTGACTCTGACTGAAACCAGCTCTGAGCTCCAGACAAACTCCCCCTGGTCCTCACAAAGATAGAAGCACCAGAGCACGTTCATCCTCATGGTGTCCTCAGTCAAACGTGGTGAGTTCATGATGCTGTGACTCCGACTCACCTGTGTGTCTGTCCACCTGTCTGTCCTCAGACCTCTCAGGCCACCTGTCTGTCCGTCACAGACGAGTTGATCTTCTGTGGGTGTTCTGACGGGACCGTTAGAGCTTTCAGCCCCGTCAACCTGCACTTCCTCTGCACTCTGCCCCGCCCACACTTCCTGGGAGCTGACATTGCCAGTATGGTGGACGCCAGGTAACACACACACCTGACAGATAACACACACCTGTACAGTTGCGTATTAAACTGTGATGTATCATTTGTGATATAATGTAACAGCATTTTATGTTACATGATGTCATATGATGTCACATGATTTATTCTGAGGTCAGCTGAGGAAGTCAACTGGAGGTCAGCTGACCACTGGGTGTGTAAATGGGTTACCATGGAAACCACAGACACATCAGCAGGCTTTTATTTTTAGTTTGCATGAGAACATCCCACAGTCCTGCAGGAAGGAACTCACCCCCCCACCTCCCTTCTTCCACCTCCCCCACAGCCAGCTGTTCTCCTGCAGGTCGGAGGCTCGGTACCCAGACACGGTGGCGGTGACCTATGACCCCACAAACCGCTGGTTGTCCTGCGTCTACAACGACCACAGTGTTTATGTTTGGGACGTCCGAGACCTCAGAGACCCTCGCAGGGCGGGAAAACTTTACTCCGCCCTCTACCACTCCTCCTGTGTGTGGAGTCTGGAGGTCAGTGTGTGTGTGTGTGTGTGTGTGTGTGTTTTCAACTAAAAAGTTATGAATGTGAATTTTAGTGAAACATGTTTGATTTTGGTTTAATCCATTTACAAACCTGAGCACCTGCTGCTGTGTCTCCTGCAGGTGTACCCAGAGGGGGGAGGGGGAGGAGGAGGTGAGGTGCGTTTCCCCCCCGGCTCCTTCCTGTCCTGCTCGTCAGACAACACCATCCGACTGTGGAACTTCGACGGACACAACGTCCTCAACAGGAACATCCTGAGCCACGTACGACAACCAACACCTTAATATTTATATTTACCAGTACACCTGCACACCTGCACACCTGTACACCTGTAACCCTGCACACCTGCACACCTGTACACCTGTACACCTGTACACCTGCACACCTGCACACCTGCACACCTGTACACCTGCACACCTGTACACCTGCACACCTGCACACCTGCACACCTGTACACCTGTACCCCTGTACACCTGCACACCTGCACACCTGCACACCTGTACACCTGTAACCCTGCACACCTGCACACCTGCACACCTGTACACCTGCACACCTGTACACCTGCACACCTGCACACCTGCACACCTGTACACCCTCCTCATCTCACCTGACTCTGACCTCTGACCTCTGACCCCAGGACCTGCAGAAGGTAATTTACGTGGACGATAACGTAACGAGCCTCCTGGACACGGAGAGCATCACAATCGCCGGGGGCAACACAGAGAAGGCGGGGTCATCGGGCTCAGAGGGGCAGCAGACTGACCAGAGCAGGGCGGGCATTAGGACCCTGAGAGTCAGTCCTGATGGACAGCACCTGGCCTCTGGAGACCGCATGGGGGTTCTCAGGTGAGGAGGGGGAGGATTAATCACAGGTTTGAGTCCAGACCAGCAGAGGATACAAGTCACAATGAACCACTGACACTGCTGAGTCATAATAGTGCATGTGTGTGTGTGTGTGTGTGTGTGTGTGTGTGTGTGTGTGTGTGTGTGTGTGTGTGTTGTAGGATCCATGACCTGGACAGTATGGAGGAAATCCTGAATGTTCAGGCTCATGACTCAGAGATCCTCTGCCTGGAGTTCTCCAAAGCAGACACTGGTGAGAAACCACACAGTGTGTTACACAGTATACACACAAGTATACAGTGTTTATTACACACAGTGCAACAACACAACTCATTTACACTATATAACTCAAAATAAAAACAGAATATACACGACTTATAACACAATGGAACACAACAGTTACTTCAGTATATACAAACACACACACGCACACACACACACACACGCACCCACACACACACACACACACACACACACACACACAGCTGTGCTACTGATCCACAGTAAAACCAGTAAACTACACAATAAAACTGTTTCTGTCGACCAGGAAACAACAACACACAGAGAGGAATGCTGAGGCTCATTAACACACACCACACACCACACACACACACACACACACACACACACACACACACACACACACACACACACACACACACACACACACACAGAGTTCTGTTTAACGACAGTGGTGACATCATTACAAGTTACAGTAAACTATTAAGTCAAGATGTTTTCAGAGGACCTTCAAAATAAAAGCAGTGGTGTTAGTGGGCATAATGAATTTACTTTTTCCCACAATTATTTCTTGCTTAAGGTTGAGAAGAAGAATAAAGAACTTTCACTGACTAAAGAAATAATCCACCATTTCTTCTCTTCAGGCCTTAAAGACAAAGTTAAACATAAAGATTAAACTGCTGCTCCAGTTTTTAATCATCATCATCATCGGCTGGATGTATTATCATTATCATGATAATACATCCAGCCGGGTTCATCACTTGTTATTCATCAAACTGAACCAAGATATTAACAAATATTACAAAAAGCACCGAAATAAAACGAACCCATGTGTTCATCGTGTGTGTGCGTTATTCATATGTGTGTGTCTGTCCTGCAGGTCTCCAGTTATTAGCCACGGCCAGTCGGGACCGTCTGATCCACGTCCTGGATGCAGGCAAGGAGTACAGTCTGGTTCAGACTCTGGACGAGCACTCGTCCTCCATCACCGCCGTCAGGTTCGCAGGTCAGTGTCGGTCTGGCGTCCAAGGGCAACATGTACTTCTGCTTTATTTATCTGAGCAAACAATCAGTCAGTTAATCAATTAATTACCTGACAGGAAATTAATCGGTAGCTAGATTAAGTTGTTTTTCATGTAACAACTTTATGGTTCCAGCTGTTTTTCCTTTTTATTTATTTATTTATTTTTTGCACTCTTTATTTTTATTTTGGTATATAACAAGAACATCAACATTGTAAATCGAGAAATTGCATTCCAAATTAACAAACTCCCAATTTCACATCTAACCCCAACACAGAAGAAAGAAAAGACAAATCAAAATAGAAAATAGTTTTGTCAAATATAAAGTTCTGCTTTCTTCTGGTTAAGAATTAAAGAACAATGTTATAAATTAGATAGAATCACATCTCACAGTTGTTTCAGGTTACATCCCTGTTTATAGAGTCATATACAAAATGATCCATTTGTGTGAAATTGTGTCATAATTGCTGTGAAGTCTTGAATAATGGCTAAAAATGACCTTGACCTTTGACCTTTGACTAAAATCTAAAATCTAATCAGTTTGTCCCTGAGTCGAGGTGAATGTTTTTACCAAAAGATCTGTAGGAGACAATGATATTTATGTTTTTGTGAACCATATGATGAACCATTTCCAGCCTTTTACAAAATAAACTTCCTCCATTTTTACCCTGTTTGTGAAATTCTCCATCAGCCTTTTAATTAATTTCATTTATGTTAATAATTTAGACGAACAGACATTGTGAAAGTTTCACAAACCAAACGATCAATTAATGAATCAGGAAACTAATGAGTTTACAGTAAAGATGTTCATCCTCTGACGTCACCTTCTTCCTGTGTCCGACAGCCAATGAGGGGAAGGTGAGGATGATCAGCTGTGGAGCCGATAAAAGCGTCTACTTCCGCACCGCTCAGCAGGTGAGAGCAACACCTGAGTGACATCACCGTCTGTCCACAGCAGGTCACATCTGAAAACGTTTTCTTCTTCTCTGGTCAATGTTGTCGTCCGTTTAGTCTCAGCTGTGACCTCGTCACATACAGACTGAATGAATGATAAATGAATGAATGAATGATGAATAGTTGGTTCAGTGTCTCTGTGTTTTAACTTCATCTTTAATATTGATCTTATGAACTGTGATTACAGGTTATTGATCATTGATTATTACCTTGTTTACACATTATGACCTGGTGTCATCAGTCACCTATGCTTCTAACCTCTTCTCTTGTCTTCTTCTTCTCCTCTTCCTGGCGTGTGGTCAGGTGGAGGGGGGGTTGGAGTTCACTCGGACTCATCACGTTGTCAGGAAGACGACTCTGTACGACATGGACATCGAACCAACCAGGAAGTACGCAGCCGTGGGCTGTCAGGACCGCAGCATCAGGTAACACACACCTGTCTCACACCTGAGAGTGTGTGTGTGTGTCTGTGTGTACTAATCCACCTGCAGCTCAAACAAACATGTCTGCAGCAGGATTACCCAGCAGGCAACAGGAGGAGGATTAGGATTAACGCCATGATGCTGATAAATGTGGCGCAGTGAAAGTACAATAAAAGTAGAAGAAGAACCTGATGGAAGCACTGGAGCAAATATATTCACCTACTGCTCATAGATACAGAATATTACCAAAGACTTTATTGACATTTCTCTTTTTTCTTTTTTGCTCCAGATCTTTAAATATTAATATGTTTATCTGAATCTCATCTAATATTTATTTTCATTATATTTTCCTGCATAATACAGCTGCACAGTTAGTTCGGATAAAAGCAACCACAAAGAAAGTGACTGAAGCAATATGAGAGATTTGTTTCTCTAATAAAGGATCTATCTAATAAGGTCTACAATCAATAATTGCACATGAGACAAGATGTTTATGTATAAAATGTTTTCTCAGAAATAACATTTCGGTATTGATGGAATAAAATCTGTTCAACAGCAGGAAATACACAAACATTACCTGCACCTCAGGTCTCCTCTCAGGCTTTTCTGTAAGATTTTGTCACAGTGTTATTTCATTTCTTTCTTTATGAGGACGACGCACATTAATCAACATTTGTGCAGCTGCAGCTTTTGACAAGATGTTCTCGGGTCTATGAAGTGGCAGCTAAAAATACAAACGTATGACAGTAAGAGACTGAAACGAGCTGCAGGACAGAGTCAGTGTGGAGGCTTTAGGAATGTTTTTTCAAGAGTGATTCCACTGGATAAAAGTAAAGTAAATATACTGCTAACAAGTCTTAACAGCTGTAAACACAGTCTTCACACAGAACGATGGAAGGAGAAAAATCAACATCCAGACAGCTCCAGGCCGACAACACTAATACACACTGTAAACACTTCATTGGTCCTAACCACAGAGTAATGATCCTCCTCCTCTTCCTCCTCCTCCTGCAGGATCTTTAACATCAGCAATGGAAAACAGAAGAAGTTGTATAAAGGCTCTCTGGGAGAGGATGGCACTCTCATTAAGGTAGGTCACTACTAAGACCAGTCTAGCATTACCATGGTGATGTGTCTATGGTGACAGCAGCAGGTATGGATGGATTACACAGCAGCTATTAACTCTTCCTCTCCCTCCTCCTCCGTCCTGCTCAGGTGCAGATAGACCCGTCGGGTCTCTACATTGCCACTTCCTGTTCAGATAAGAACATCAGTATATTCGACTTCTACTCTGGAGAGTGTGTGGCCACCATGTTCGGACACTCGGGTCAGTACCGCTGAATCACTGAGTAATTCAGTCCATCGCTGTCTTACTGTTGTCTCCGTGTGGACACGTGAGAGTCCATTATTGTCTTTAACCTGTCACAGCTGACTGTTCTGTTTGTTTTATATCTAAGTATGTATGTACTGTGTGTGCTTATGAATGAATTAATATATGTATGTATGAATACATTTTGCATCTTTATGTATGAATGAATGAATGTAAGTATGAATGATGGAATTTACAATATATGCCTTTATGGACATGTTTAAGTACGAATATATTTATGTGTGAATGTGTTCGTATGAGAGAATGAATTTGTGTATAAATAGTATGAATGAATGATTGAATGAATGAATGTTTGTATTCATGTAACATATATTAATTATGTATGAATGTATGTACATGTGTATGTATGAATTACTGGATGCATTAATGACTGAATGTATGAATATGTGCATGTACAAATGAATATACGTATGGTATGTATTGTGTATGTATGAATATTGAATGAATGAATGAATGTGCATGTATGTATGACTGCATTTGAATATATAAGTGTTTTACATATGTATGCATGTATCTGTATCTGTTTGTATGAATGTGTAAACTTATAAATGTACAGTATGTGTCAGTATGAATGAATGAATGTTTGAATGAATATATGAGTACAAGCTTGACTGTATGGATGCAAACATACATGTATATATATAGTTATTAATTTCCATATGTATGAATGTACACTTATATGATTATATAGGGTCGAACCAATGAATGAATGAGAGAATGAATGAATGTATGAATATATGAGAATTTATAGAAATGTATGCAATTATGAATTTAATGCAAGAATGTCTGTATGAATGTATGAATGGAATTGGGTATGTATGTAAGTCTTTTTATGTGTGAATTTTTGTATGAACGTGTTTATGTCTGTGCATATGTATCTGTGTCTCAATGAAAGAATCAATGTTTGTACAAATGTGATAGTATAGTAAGTCATAGAACTTCAAAGTATAGTAAGGTACAAAAACACGTAAGGTATGAAAACGTCTTAGTATAGTAAGACCTAAAAATGTCATGATGTTTTCTGTATTACTATACTAAGACATTTTTATACCTTGCGCTTTTGCCATACTATACTATGATGTTTTTATATCATACTATATGTTTTTATATCATCCTATACTATGACCTTTTTCGACCTTTCGTTTCATACTATACTATGATGTTTTTTGACGTTTTTATGACATATTATACTATGACGTTTTTATGACGTTTTTAAACCTTACTATACTGTGACGTTTTATGACGTTTTCATGACAAACTATACTATGACGCTTTTATGTCATAGTCAACTATGATGTTTTTTGACATTTTTATACCTTACAATACTATGACGTTTTTTGACGTTTTTATGCCTTACTATACTATGACATTTTTTTGAATTTTAATGACATACTATACTATGACGTTTTTAAAACTTACTGTACTATGACATTTTTATGCCGTAGTATACTATGAAGTTTTATGACGTTTATGTGCTATACTATACTATGATGTTTTTATGCCATACTATACTATGACGTTTTATGTCATCTTATGACATACTATACTATGACGTTTTTTTAATGTTTTTATGCCATACTATACTATGACGTTTTATGACGTCTTATGACATACTATACTATAATGTTTTTTGAAATTTTAATTACATACTATACTATGATGTTTTTAAACCTTACTATACTGTGACGTTTTATGAAATTTTAATGACATACGATACTATGACGTTTTTAAACCTTACTATACTATGATGTCTTGTGACATACTATACTATGACGTTTTTTGATGTTTTTATGATATATTATGACATTTTTTAACATTTTTATGACATACTATACTATGATGTTTTTTTTGACGTTTTTAAACCTTACTATACTATGACGTTTTTATGCCTAACTATATTATGACATTTTTTAACGTTTTTATGACATACTATGCTATGATGTTTTTAGAAGTTTTTATGCCTTACTATACTATGACGTTTTATGACGTCTTATGACATACTATACTATGACGTTTTTATGCCTTACTATACTATGACGTTTTTTGACATTTTTGTGATATATTATACTAGGACATTTTCATGACATACTATACTATGACGTTTTTTGAAGTTTTATGCCATACTGTACTATGACGCTTTTTGAAGTTTTCATGACATACTATACTATGACGTTTTTATGCCATTCTATACTATGACGTTTTTAAACTTTACTATACTATGACATTTTTATGCCATTCTATACTATGACGTTTTTAAACCTTACTATACTATGACATTTTTATGCCTTAAAAATATAGTATGTCATAAAAACGTCATAGTATAGTATGGCATAAAAACGTCATAGTATAGTGAGGCATAAAAACGTCATAGTATAGTATGTCGTAAAAACATCAAAAAACGTCATAGTAAAGTAAGGCATAAAAATGTCATAGTATAGTATGCCGTAAAAACATCAAAAAACATCATAGTATAATATGGCATAAAAACGTCATTGTATAGTATGTCGTAAAAACATCATAGTGAAGTAAGGCATAAAAACGTCATAGTATAGTACGTCATAAAAACGTCATAAAATGTCATAGAATAGTATAGCATAAAAAAAGCAAAAAATGTTATAGTATGGTATAAAAATAGTATATTAAGGCATAATAATGTCATAGTATAGTATGCCGTAAAAACATCAAAAAACATCATAGTATAATATGGCATAAAAACGTCATTGTATAGTATGTCGTAAAAACGTCATAGTGAAGTAAGGCGTAAAAACGTCATAGTATAGTATGTCATAAAAACGTCATAAAATGTCATAGAATAGTATAGCATAAAAAAAGCAAAAAATGTTATAGTATGGTATAAAAATAGTATATTAAGGCATAATAATGTCATAGTATAGTATGTCGTAAAAAATCGAAAATGTTATAGTATAGTATGGCATAAAAGGTCAACAACGTCATCGTATATTATTTCNCAACAACGTCATCGTATATTGTTTCATAAAAACGTCAAAAAACATCATAGTATCGTATGGCATGAAATCAGCAAAAAACGTCATAGTATCGTATGGCATGAAATCAGTAAAAAACGTCATAGTAAAGTATGTCATAAAAACATAAAAAAAGTCATAGTATAGTATGGCATAAAAACATCAAAAAATGTCATAGTAAAGTAAGGCATAAAAATAGCAAAAAAAGTCATAGTATAGTATGGCATAAAAGGTCATAGTATAGTTAGGCATAAAAACGTCATAGTATGCCGTAAAAACGTCAAAAAACGTCATAGTATAGTATGGCATAAAAGGTCAAAAAACGTCATAGTATAGTATGGCATTCAAACGTCATAGTATAGTATGGCATAAAAACGTCATAGTAAAGTAAGGCATAAAAACAGTAAAAAACGTCATAGTATAGTATGGCATAAAAGGTCAAAAACGTCATCGTATATTATTTCATAAAATCGTCAAAAAACGTCATAGTACAGTATGGCATAAAAACGTCATAGTATAGTAAGGCATAAAAACGTCATAGTATAATATGTCATAAAAACAGTAAAAAAATGTCATAGTATAGTATGGTATAAAAACAGCAAAAAACGTCATAGTATAGTATGGCACAAAAACATCATAGTATAATATGGCATAAAAACGTCATAGTATAGTAAAGCACAAAAACGTCGTAGTATAGTACGTTATAAAAACGTTAAAAAATGTCACAGTAAAGTAAGACATCTTAGTGTAGTATGGTTTTAAAGGTCAAAAACATCATAGTAAAGTAAGTCATAAAAACGTTAAAAAAACATCATAGTATAGTACGGCATAAAAGGTCAAAAAATGTCATAGTATAGTATGTCATAAGAACGTCAAAAAACGTCACAGTAAAGTAAGGCATAAAAACATCATAGTATAGTATGGCATAAAATCGTCATAGTATAGTAAGGCATAAAAACTTCTAAAAACATCATAGTATAGTATGGCATAAAATCGTCATAGTATAGTAAGGCATAAAAGGTCAAAAAATGTCATAGTATAGTATGTCATAAGAACGTCAAAAAACGTCACAGTAAAGTAAGGCATAAAAACATCATAGTATAGTATGGCATAAAAGGTCAAAAAACGTCATAGTATAGTATGGCATAAAAGGTCAAAAAACGTCATAGTATAGTATGGCATAAAAGGTCAAAAAACGTCATAGTATAGTATGGCATAAAAGGTCAAAAAACGTCATAGTATAGTATGGCATAAAAACGTCATATTATAGTAAGGCACAAAAACGTCATAGTATAGTATGTTACAAAAACGTTGAAAAATGTCATAGTAAAGTAAGGCATAAAAATAGCAAAAGACGTCATAGTATAGTATGGCATAAAAGGTCAAAAAACGTCATAGTATAGTATGGCATAAAAGGTCAACAACGTTATCGTATATTATTTCATAAAAACGTCAAAAAACATCATAGTACAGTATGGCATAAAAATGTCATAATGTAGTAAGGCATAAAAACGTCATAGTATCGTATGGCATAAAAATGTCATACTATAGTATGGCATGAAAACAGTAAAAAACGTCATAGTATAGTATGTCATTAAAACATAAAAAAACGTCATAGTATAGTATGGCACAAAAACATCATAGTATAGTAAGGCATAAAAATGTCAAAAAACGTCATAGTATAGTATGGCATAAAAACAGCAAAAAATGTCATAGTATAGTATTGTATAAAAATAGCAAAAGACGTCATAGTATAGTATGGTTTTAAAGGTCAAAAACATCATAGTAAAGTAAGGCATAAAAACGTTAAAAAAACATCATAGTATAGTATGGCATAAAAGGTCAACAACGTCATCGTATATTATTTCATAAAAACGTCAAAAAACATCATAGTACAGTATGGCATAAAAACGTCATAGTATAGTAAGGCATAAAAATGTCATAGAATAGTATGGCATAAAAACATCAAAAAACATCATAGTATGGTAAGGCACAAAAACGTCATAGTATAGTATGTCATAAAAACGTTAAAAAACGTCATACTATAGTATGTCATAAAAACACAAAAAAACGTGATAGTATAGTATGGCATAAAAACATAAAAAAAACGTCATAGTATAGTATGGCATAAAAACATCAAAAAACGTCATAGTATAGTATGGCATAAAAACATCAAAAAACATCATAGTATGGTAAGGCACAAAAATGTCATAGTATAGTATGTCATAAAAACGTCATAGTATAGTACGGCATAAAAGGTCAAAAAATGTCATAGTATAGTATGGCATAAAAACATCATAGTAAAGTTAGGCATAAAAACAGTAAAAAACGTCATAGTATGGCATAAAAGGTCAAAAACGTCATCGTATATTATTTCATAAAATCGTCCAAAAACGTCATAATACAGTATTGCATAAAAACGTCAAAGTAAAATATGTCATAAAAACAGCAAAAAATGTCAAAATATAGTATGTCATAAAAAAGGACAAAAAACGTCATAGTATAGTATGGCATGAAAACGTCATAATAAAGTATGTCATAAAAACAGTAAAAAACATCATAGTATGACATAAAAGGTCAAAAACGTCATCGTATATTATTTCATAAAATTGTCAAAAAACGTCATAGTACAGTATGGCATAAAAACGTAATAGTATAGTATGTCATAAAAACAGCAAAAAACGTCATAGTATAGTATGGCATAAAAACGTCATAGTATAGTAAGGCACAAAAACACTATAGTATAGTATGTCATAAAAACGTCAAAAACATCATAGTATAGTTTGTCATAAAAACGTTACAAAACGTCATAGTAAAGTAAGGCATAAAAATAGCAAAAGACATCATAGTATAGTATGTCATAAAAATGTCAAAAAAACGTCATAGTCAAGTTTGTCATAAAAACATCAAAAAATGTCATAGTATAGCATGGCATAAAAACTTCATTTTTTAGTATGTCATAAAAACGTTAAAAAACGTCATAGTAAAGTATGGCATAAAACCGTCATAGTAAAGTAAGGCACAAAAACCTCATAGTGTAGTATGGCATCAAAACGTCATAAAACGTCATTGTAAAGTAAGGCATAAAAACAGCAAAAAACGTCATAGTATAGTATGGCATAAAAATGTCAAAAAACGTCATAGTATAGTATGGCATAAAAACGTCATAGTATAGTAAGGCACAAAAACACTATAGTATAGTATGCCATAAAAACCTCAAAAACATCATAGTAAAGTAAGGCATAAAAATAGCAAAAGACATCATAGTATAGTAAGTCATAAAGATGTCAAAAAACGTCATAGTGAAGTTTGTCATAAAAACATCAAAAAATGTCATAGTATCGCATGACATAAAAACTTCATTTTTTAGTATGTCATAAAAACGTCAAAAAACGTCATAGTAAAGTATGGCATAAAACCGTCATAGTAAAGTAAGGCACAAAAACCTCATAGTGTAGTATGGCATCAAAACGTCATAAAACGTCATTGTAAAGTAAGGCATAAAAACAGCAAAAAACGTTTTAGTATAGTATGGCATAAAAATGTCAAAAAACGTCATAGTATAGTATGGCATAAAAACAGCAAAAAACGTCATAGTATAGTATGGCATAAAAACATCATAGTATAGTATGTCATAAAAATGTCAAAAAACATCATAGTACAGTATGGCATAAAAACGTCATAGTATAGTAAGGCATAAAAACGTCATAGTATCGTATGGCATAAACATGTCATAGTATAGTATGGCATGAAAACGTTAAAAAACGTCATAGTATAGTATGTCATAAAAACACATAAAAACGTCATAGTATAGTATGTTATAAAAACAGCAAAAAACATCAAAATATAGTATGTCATAAAAACGACAAGAAACGTCATAGTATGGCATGAAAACGTCATAATAAAGTATGGCATAAAAACAGTAAAAAACGTCATAGTATAGTATGACATAGAAGGTCAAAAATGTCATCGTATATTATTTCATAAAATTGTCAAAAAACGTCATAGTACAGTATGTCATAAAAACAGCAAAAAACGTCATAGTATAGTATGGCACAAAAACGTCATAGTGTAGTATGGCATAAAAACCTCATAAAACGTCATTGTATAGTATGGCATAAAAACAGCAAAAAACGTCATAGTATAGTATGGCACAAAAACATCATAGTGTAGTATGGCATAAAAACCTCATAAAACGTCATTGTAAAGTATGGCATAAAAACAGCAATAAACGTCATAGTATAGTATGGCACAAAAACGTCATAGTATAGTATGTCATAAAAACGTCAAAAAACGTCATAGTAAAGTATGGCATAAAACCGTCATAGCAAAGTAAGGCATAAAAACAGCAAAACCATTCTAAGGTATAGAACAAGAGAGTATAGTAAGTCATAAAAATGTCAAAAAACTATATAGTATAGTAAGTCATGAAAATGTCAAAAATCATCATATTATATTAAGGCATAAAAATTCATAAAAACATCATAGTATGGTAAGGCATAAAACATAATAGTATGATGAGTCATAAAAATGTCAAAAAACATCATAGTAAACTAAGGTATAAAAACGTCACAGTATCGTATGGCATAAAAACGTCAAAAAATATCATAGTATTGTAAGGTATAAAAACATCAAAAAACCTAATTGCATAGTATGCCTTAAAAAAATACCAAAAAACGTCATAGTATTGGCTTTACTCAGTGGTCGGGGTTTGGATCCATCCTGGGCTCTTTCCTGCATGTTATCCCCTCTCTCTCTCCCCACCCTCCCTTCACTCTCTCACTGTCCCTTTCAACATAAATGCAAAAAACTGCCCAAAAAACAAAAAGAATACATTTATATAACTTGGTTTGAATGTATATACATGTCTGTTTAAGTAATGATGGGACTGTGAGTAATTATCATTTTAAACTAACATCCCCTCTTCCTATCTGTCTCTCAGAGATAGTAACAGGTCTGAAGTTCAGCAGTGACTGCAGACACCTGATCACAGTGTCTGGAGACAGGTACTGTTGTTGTTGACCCATTTTATCTCCATGAGGACATTCCCATTTGTTTTTCAGTGTAGCTCAATTTACATCCAGATCAATATTTCCTAACTGTATCAATGACACGTCTGTTTGTGTGTTTGTGTGTAGTTGTATCTTTGTGTGGCGTCTCAATCCAGAGCTGACCATCAGGATGAGGCAGCGACTCGCTGACCTTCGACCTCCCAGCAGCAACCACAGTTCCCAGAATGCACCTCAGCCAAGAGTGGTAAACCTCAGGTAAATGTTGAGCTTGTTTCACAGCTGCTGCTGATGTGTTTGTGTCATTGTTCATTTAACAATATTTGATGGTAATTATTAGTTTAAAGATGAGATGAAATTAAAATAAAATACATCAACTTTTATCAGCAGTTCAAAACTTTATTTTTATTTTTTGACACATTTTGAATACAGTACACAAGAGTCCTGAACACTACTAAAAACATTGTGAAATAAACTGTAATGCTACATTCAGAAAATGAATACACATAAAAAATAATATTAAAAAATAATGAAACATTTAAGAGAAAAAAACAGAATAAAAAACATGAGTAAATTCTGTTTTAATGAGATTAATGAGAAGATTTTGAAAGATAAAGAAGACAGAAAACTCAAAACATACAATATAAAATGAAACCATCAAATTATTGTTCTTGAGTTTTTTCTTAAAATACAATAATATCATTTGCCAAAAAAACAAAAATATGGGCAGTAAACACTCTTGTATGTTACAATGAAAAACTCACAGAGGAATTTCTTCATTTTCTAAAAATAAAATATCAGTAATGACAATAAATAATTATTCACAATCAAATCATTTACTAATGAAATGACAAGATAAGCTCACTGGCTTTATAACAACCATTCTTAACAACCAGAGGTAAATGTCAGTCAAATAAAGAAACCTATTATTAAAAATAATCATAATACAATACATGTTATAAAAAAAGATGCAATACGGTGAAAAACAGTTAAACTTAGATCATTAAAAACAAAATATCCTTTTTAAAAAGACAATAAATAAAAGATGTTAAATAAAACACAAACTTCAAACTTAATATCACTGTTTTAAATTCATTATCAGGTTTAAACTAAAACTGTTTGATTTAAAAATTACATAACTAAATTAAGTTAATGAATTTAAAATAAAATGTCAAGCATGTTCTGTTATATTTCGTCCTGTATTAAACATTATATATTTTGTATTTTTATGTATTTACTGTCAGAACAAATCAACATATTTACATTCTTTTTATATTTGTATTTAGTCACATTCTTTATGGATACGTATTTTTATCTAAATTTAGATCAAAATAATATTTTCATCAAGTACAGCTGACAGTATCGTGACTCGTGTACCGTGTTGTTGTTGTGTCTGAGCAGCAGGGAGGCGGAGTCTCCTCGTGTCGTCACCATGTCGTCTGACAGTGACAAAGAGGAAGAAGAGGAGGAGGAGGAGGAGCTCAGATGTCCTTATATGGGCACAGCAGGACGCCTGGAGGAGGAGACAGGTATGTTGCTACGGTTACGCATCATATCCAACACAGAGAAGCAAACAGCAGCTGATGAAAATAAAATGTGTTTTCTTTCCCTCAGACGTGTGCGATGAGAAGTTCAACTCTCTGGACTCTCAGTGCTGCAGGAAGGTGCCTGTGTATTTAATGTTTATTATTATTTACATTACATTATATTTACATTATTGATCAATGTACATTTCATTATTCATGGCCTAAAAGTGAGAACTAGCGAACATCAGCACAGCGGGTTTTATTTTAGTGAATGTTTTAAACTTGAGTTTGAATATTTCAAACTTCAGAATCAGACTCGAACTCTTCAGGATATTTGCTTCTCTCTGACCCCTCCCTCAGGAGGCGTCAGGAGGTCGACTCCCCCGCCGTCGCTGGTCCAGGAGGACGGGCAGCGCCGACGGTGTCCTGATGGTGAAGTCCATGTTGGACCTGAGACTGCTGGACTCGTACTGCCCCGACAGACGGGAGGAGCAGCAGGTGGAGCAGGAGGAGGTCAGGATGCTACAAACCAAACTGCAATAAAGAAAAAACACAATGCTCAACAAAAAGTGTTAATTTTAAACATTCCCCCCCCCCCCCCCCCCCAGACCTGCCCCCTTGATGTTAAACCCACCCCTTGTAGCCCAAGGAGGAGGGGCCAGGTTGTGGAGGCGGGACTTCACAGGACCAATCAGGAGCTAGGGAGCACCATCAGTCTGCAGGTCACCACTGCATGGGTGAGCGAACACACACACACATGCACACACACACACAGAAACACACTTTGGTTGGCTATGATAAAAATCAAAGTTCACTTACTTGGTTTTTCCTGAGCTTTTGCTCGTGTCTCAGAGTCTTCTTCAGTGAATGGAACTTGGCTCGACTGTCATCACATGACTTAACAGTCACATGATAACAGGTAGTCTCTGCTCAGCGACATTAAGAGTTCAAATAGTTCCATTCGCTGAAGAAGACCATGAGATATGGTTGAGAACTCCTGAAAAAGCAAGTGAGTGAACTTGGTGACAAGCACACCTCAGCATTCAGATTGGTTGAGTTGATGGTGTATATTTCTGTCTGTGCAGGGGGAGGACGATGAGGCAAGGACCAATCAGAGGCCAGACTTCATCCTGCTGTCCAATCAGAGCCCGGACAGGGAGGATCCAGTGCTGTATCCTGACCAATGGGAGGACAGACTGAGCCTGGCAGGCAGGTAAGACGGCTTCCCCTCTGGTTTCACGAGTTATTAAGACTGTGAGGGACATCTATGTTAACCTGTCCCACCCTTCTAAACCCCGCCCCCTGCTGTCAGTGAGTTCCAGGTGAAGGAGGCGTGTCCTGCCGCTGCAGGTGGACGACAGGACAAACCCAGTCCAGACAGCGGCTGCTCACTGGGATTCAGCTCCAGACTGTCCAGTCCAGACAGACCTGCAGGAGACGGTGAGACAGATACACAGAGACTGTCTGTCACAGAGACTGTCTGTCACTCACCTGTCTGTCACTCACCTGTCTGTCTCTCACCTGTCTGTCACTGACCTGTCTGTCACTCACCTGTCTGTCACTCACCTGTCTGTCTCTCACCTGTCTGTCTCTCTCTCTCGTCTTTCTGTCGCTCAGACTCAGAGCCCACTGAGCCGCTCAGTGTGGATGGAAACTCCTCTGAGCTAGAGATGGAGGAGGAGGATGACGAGGACGGAGGAAGAGGAGGAAGAGGAGGAGGAGGTGTAGGAGGAGGAGGAGCAGGAGGAGGGGAGGTGGCGGTGTCACAGCAGGTCCCCCCGACTCCAGACCAGGAAGCTTTCCTGAAGGAGCACTTTGTCACGCTGGCCGACCTCTCGGCCTCAGGTACATCAGGTCGAGCTGCAGGTGTTGAGCCCGTGTGGTGTGTTTCAGCTCAGTCACATGACCTTGTGTTGACAGGGAGTCCGAGCAGAGCGTCGCACAGCTCCAGTGAGAGTCTCAGCATCTCCTCCAGGTTCCTCTCCCAGAATTCAACTGGAAGGTAAAACATCACCGCTCATCAACCATCACCTGTGTGGATGTCCAGTGATGTCACAGGAAAAGCATTTTAATTAAAAACAGGATAAAACTCTCATTAAATAAACCATTTATAAATATATTTATTAATTCATGAATAAATAATAGAATTTGAACGGATTAATGGATTTAAAGGATTAATTGTTCATTTATAAATTCCTTTTACATTATGACATTTACATTATTACTTTTCCCGTGACATCACTGGACCTCCATACGAGTCCTGATCAGAATGTGGTGCTGGACCGGGACTGAGAGCCTCCTGGTTCAGAACTTGTCTTTCTCTCTCCTCAGTCGAGCTGTGATTCCTCTCCCATCCCGGAGCAGCGGGGGAGGAGGACCAGGGGAGGTCAAGGCCCGTCCTCTGGTCTCTGAGGTCCGACCTCTGATGGAGCAGAACCAGCACAGGAGCCAGGACAGAAGGGTATCATGGAACCAGGACCAAACCCAGAAACAGAACCAGGACCAGACCTCCTCACTTCAGGACCAGAACAGAACCAACCAGGACCAAACAGAACCTCCTCAGGTCAGGAACCAGATCCAGCAGGATGACGATCAGCTCCAGAGCTCGGTTCAGGAGGACGAGAGCTCCTTGGCTCTACAGGCCCAGCGGCCCTCCCCGCTGAAGAAGAAGATCCAGACATCTATAGAGTCCAAAAGGAACCTGGGACCAACGGCCCGGGCCGCCGCCGCCCATCTGAACCCGTCTGGACTCCGGAAGGCGCAGTCAGTCCAAAGCCTGCTGAGCGACACAGGTAACCCTCCACACCTCCAGAGCTCCAGAACCTGGACTCGTCTCTGACGGTTAAATAATCCTCTTCTCTCTCCCTCAGGTGACATCTCTTTCTCCCAGTCGCCCTCTCGCCCGTCCAGAGAGGTCCCCCCTCAGCTGCTCCTCCCCCCTCAGCGTCCCACCACTCTTCCTTCCTCCCCCAGACGCCCCCCCTCATCCACAATCCCGCCCCCTCAGAGACCCAGCCCCGCCTCCCCCAGGTCCCCGCAGCAGGAAATGGCCGCCGCTCCGTCTATGACCACACCGAGGAAGTCTTTGTCCTCCTCCTCGACGCCGTCGGCGCCGCGCTCCTACATGAGCCCCACCGCCAGCTCCATGGCCAAGATGTCCCGCTCCGTCTCCGTGGGTGACGGACTCAACATCACCGAACCTGCAGAGGATCCTGCAGTGACATCATCATCATCATCATCATCAGTGGTTACCTCCTCCAATCAGGTCAAAGAGACGCCACCTCCTCTGGTTGCCGTGGTGCCCTCCAACGCAGCTCTGGCTACGCCCCCCCATGTTGCAGTTGTCCCCGTTGTCGCCGCCTCTCCCTCGACTTCCTCTCTGGGTAACCATGGTAACCAGACGGCCCCTCCCCCCCGTGGTCTCCAGGCTCGGGTCCCGGGCAGCAGCAGACCGCTGCCTGACAAACCCTCCCTCGCCTCCTTCTCACCATCATCCAAGACCGCTGCCACCTCCTCATCTTCCTCCTCCTCCTCCTCCTCCTCGTCTTCCACGTCTCGGCCTCCTCCGGTCTCTGTCTCCCCCCTGGCTCCCCCCCAGCAGGAGGAGGAGCCTCCGACTACTACAAGTGGAAGTGCAGAGCAGAGGGACGACGCAGGTTTGGACTCTCCTCCTCTTCCTCCTCCTCCTCCTCCTCTCGATCCCTTCATCCTGTCATCTCTCCGTCTGGGCCCGGGACTCTGGCTCTGCCCCTCCTCCTCACCCTCCTCTTCATCACTGAACTCCTCCTCCTCTCGCTCCGTACAGACGGGTGAGACGTTCACTCCTCCTACTTTTCTTTTCTGTTCCCTCTCTTCTTCTTTACTCCCTCCATCATGTCAGACGCTCTGTGTGTTCAGAGGGAAACATCTGCAGCATCTGGACTGGTCTCTGGTCCCTCAAGTCCTGGTTCATGAGGGGACAGAAACCAGCAGCTTTGTCTGTTTGACCAATGATAGAGTGTTTGTGGAGGCAGAGGAGCCAATCAGCTGTCAGTATAAAATAAAACCTGTTTAACAGCTGCTGTTAGAAGAAGAAGAATCTACATCCTGGTCTTTTTTCTGTTTCTTTCGCGATCGATAGAGTCACCTTACCTTCTGCTTCTCTCTCTCTCTCTGTGCAGACCAGCCAGTCAGTGTGGAGACCTGCATGGCTCTGACCAATGAGCTGCAGAGCTGCTTTAAGAGAGCCACACACCTGTACAGGAAGGTGAGCTGGACATTGTGTGATTGCAGCTGAATATGTGAAGGTTAAAATATTGTGACTGGCTGATGTGAGGCGTCACATGTTTGTTACGTCACGTGTGACAGAGCTTTCAGAAATACGTTTCCCAGCTGGAATCTCCTGGTTACAGGTGTTCAGTTCACCTGGATCAGGTTCCAGCAGCTCAACATAAATCCATCACTATGTTTCTGTTGAAAGTCCTTCAAGCCTGAAGGAGCCTGAGGGAACCTAAAGGAACCCGAGGGAACCCAAAGGAGCCTGAGGGAGCCTGAAGGAACCCGAAGGAGCCTAGAGGAACCTGAGGGAACCTGAAGGAACCTGAAGGAGCCTGAGGGAACCTAAAGGAACCCGAGGGAACCCAAAGGAGCCTGAGGGAACCTGAAGGAGCCTGAAGGAACCTGAAGGAGCCTGAAGGAGCAGTGTGTCTTACCTTCAGTCTGGTCTCACCTCTCTCTCCTCCACCTACAGGTGAGCAGCTCCTCCACTGATGACCCCGCCCCGGACCAGCGTCAGATGGCCATCCTCCTATCAGAGGCCTTCCAGGCCATGAGGGCGGAGCTAGACTCCCTGCCGCTCAGTGCACCGAGCATGCTGGGAGTGGAGGGGGGGCTGGGAGGAGTGGGGGAGGTGAAGACAGCGGCTCTGCTGGAGGAGTATTCTCTGCTTCTGCTGCAGGCCGTACACAGGAGGATCAACACCTCCACATACTGACCCACTCCTCCTCCTCCTCATCTCCTCCTCATCTCCTCCTCCTCCTCCCCTCCTCCTCATCTCTTCCTCATCTCCTCCTCCTCCTCATCTCCTCATCCCCCCCTCCTCCTCCTCATCTCCTCCTCCTCATCTCTTCCTCCTCCTCCTCCTCCTCATCTCCTCCTCCTCATCTCCTCCTCATCTCCTCCTCCTCATCTCTTCCTCCTCCTCCTCCTCCTCCTCATCTCCTCCTCCTCATCTCCTCCTCCTCCTCATCTCTTCCTCCTCCTCATCTCCTCCTCCTCCAGCAGCAGCAGCTAATCACCAGTTTGACTGACTGTTATAACGAGTCAGTTTATGCTGCGCTGCATTCAGGGACAATGGGAGAAAAAGAAACTTGACTGAGTCTATGTGACTAACATGTGATAAAACAGCTGTTCGTTAGGTTTTTAATGATGTTGCTAAGGTAACAGCGACTGTCTCAGAAATAAGATAAACTTTATTCAGGAGGAGAAACTGACTGAACTCACACTGAACTGGTGTCTCCTCTTTCTCCTCCTCTCTCTCGCCACGCAGCTCTTCATCCTCTTTCTTCTCTTCCTCACCTTCCTGTTTCCTCTCCTTCCTCCTCTTTCTCTTTCCTCCCTCTCGTCTTCACAGACGAGGGATCTGAAGCCATTTTGATTTTGTCTGAATTTTTATTCTTTTTTTATTCTTATGCAAGAGTCTTTCTCGTGCACCGAGAAGACGACGGGTGATTGGACAGTTTTGTAAAACGATGCTGAGACGTTCAGGAGCTCAGTTATTTTTAGAGACATTTCTCAGACTGAACCACGAGGATGTTCTGACTCCTTCGGCTCCATTTTCATTCCCTAAAGTTCCCGCCGTTTGTTCGGAGGGAATCGCAACGAGTGAACGGCAGCTTCAGTGTCCCGTCAATCTGAAGGCTCGTTTGGGTTATTGATTATTGATGATCGTTGTAGATAGGTTCATGTTAGACTGTAGAGAAGAGACTTTTTAAAGCAGCAAACAGCAATATGAGACTTTCTGTCACTGTTTGGTTTGAACAAACTTTATTGTTCTGTTTGATGTAAACGTTGGAGACGAGCAGCAGAACGTTTGTTCCTCGTGTTTCTGACGTCCTGAACAGTGACTGTGTGTAAAGATGGCCGACGTCACAGCTCCCAAAGGTGAAGCCAAAACATCGCCCCCTGGTGTCTGCCGGCAGTATGGGTCATAAACTCCGCCCCCTCCATGTTGGCGCATGAGCCAAACTAAAAAAATCAAAGTGCACGTGAAAGAAAGGTCGTTCACGTAAGTTTGGTTTTAATTAGTTATTTGATGCTATACGAGGGGGGCGTGGCATCATCATGATTGACAGCTGTGATTGACTCACGATTGGGTCGAGCAGGTGTATGGGCGGGACCTCGATGCTGTGGCTCCACCCCCTGATCACTACAGCCCAGCTCTCTTATCCAGGAAGTTGGTATAGCGGGAGGCGGAGGAGACGTCGGCCATCTTTAAAAACAGTGACTGGTTGGCGCTTCACCTGTCGTCACACTGACTCACTGTCTCACCTGGAACTGACAGCAACTTTTTAGTCTTATTTCTAACATTAATGGAGGATGTAATGTTTTTATAATTGTTCTTAGACAAACACTTTGTTGGGTTTAAATCTGGGATCAGATCGTTTCTAACAGTTTGTTGTTTCTCTGACTTTAAACAAACAAACACACAGGTCAACGTTCAGTTTGAAATATTTTCATGTTTTTGTCTAAATTTAATAAACATTTGAAACTTCTTTTGATGTGGTGTTTTTAATGAGAGCTTGAAGCTGATTGGTCATCCATGTGACGTCATCAGCTTTTTCTTTTACACCTTTAAGAATAAATGTTGGACGTGAATGTTGTGAGGCTCTTTCTTCTTCTGTTCATTTCTACACAGCTGACCGCAAATGGTACAGGCTGCTCCTCCTCCGGCCTGTGAGGTCATCACCACCACCCCCACCATCATCATCATCATCATCATCATCACCATCGAGGACATTCTGCTCATTGAAATGAGAGGAGGAGCACAGGCACTTTTTACCTCCTCAACGTGTGTGTCTCTGATTGATGAGCTGATCTGATGGGAGTGTAAACAGTGATCAGCTGTTGTGGAAACAGCTGTAGTGAAATATTATATCAGATTAAAGCTGAGGATCCATCCCTTTAGTTCAAACTCAATGTGCTGAAGTGTCCAAATACTTATGGCCTGGACTTTGTCTCAGTCACAGACTTTGATTTTACCAAAGCAGCATTTTAAATACTCAACTTTCACTTGTCACTGAATATTTCTACATAAATGTATCAGAATGTTTTAATCTGAATGTTTCTCCCCTCGCTGATGACATGACCGAAAGCTCCAGAAAAGCTACTAAATGGACATGATATTGCTGCTGTTTCCGGAGTCAAGAATGAAGCTGAACCTTTATTGTTTGACTTGTTCTTTGGTGCCGCTGCTCGACCTGATGCTGAAATATGAGCTCTGATGTTTTAGAAATGTTTTTAGTAATTTATTATTATTATTATTATTATTATTGATCCTCTTGGTTCAGTTCCGACTCAGATCTCAAACAGAAGCTTTATTATTATAGTTCATCAGCTTCATAGATGCAACATCACATCATTATTTTCTCTATTCATTCTGGCTGTAGCCACAGGAAATCACCCACCCTACCAAAACAAAAGTCCAGCCTTTATATTCCAGTGTGATGTCTCACTCGTACCCTGATCCTGGGACCGTCAGAGCGGGAACAGCAGGAATCCAGAGAAGAGGCTGAAGTTTCGGGAGTCGTCGTAGAGCCGGTAGCTGGCCGGCAGACTGAGGCGGACTCTGTCGCCCTCCTCCAGCTGCAGAGCCACGCTATTGGACGTGGAAGCGTAGCCGCCGTGGTCGTTGAGGTCCAGGTTGAAGATGACTGGCTGGTCGTTCCTGTACAGGTAAAGGCCCATGTAGCCCTTCAGGTAATCTGCAGCCGTGTAGCAGAAGAAGTAAACGCCTCTGACAGGAGCCGTGAACACACCTGAGGGACAAAAACACCACAACCATTTAGTGTCTTTGTTAAAGGAGCAGGTCACCAGAAACATTCTGATTGGTCAGGAATGGATCAACTTTCTCTGCTTGTATTTTTCTTTCATGTTATCTGTTTGTTTTTGTGGTTGAAGGAGGATTTATCATCCATGTGTGTCATGAATTCTCCTTCACATCTTTGACCTCATGATGTTTTCCATCGAGGTCGAGGAGACGAGGTTAGAGAGGACGTTATTCTGACTGTTCGACCGCAGCGTTGACCTGTGTTTGCTAACAAAGTGAGGACTGGTGCTTTAATCTGACATTCAGAGACTTGTGGTTGATTATGTTGTAGATTAAAGTAGCAGTGTGATGTCGTGTACCTGCAGTCTGGTTGTAGGCTCGACCCACGTTGCTGATGGTTTTAGAGAAAATCAGAGTTGTCTCCTCATCGAACGGCCCAACTGACCCTGAATCAGTCAGACCGGCTGAAAAGGCCACCTTCAGCTCATCTGGAAAAAAACAAAACAGGTTTTACATCACATTACGTCATCATCCTGTAAATATGTCAGATCACATCAGGAACTCAGTTTTTCTTTGCTGAGACAGAACTACGGAAGCCCTGAGGGACAAGTGGAAAAGAGTATTACAATAACGAACCCAGCATCGTGGTTCGTTACTGGAAAAACTTTCTCTTTGACCAATTTGTTTTTTATTCATTTTGTTTTCACTGAGGTTCAGTGTTAAAATCAGCTGTTAAACTGAAAGTTACCAGGTTTCTACGTATAAACATCTGTCATGTCGACAGCAGTAACTTATAACAGTGACTTTCAGCTTTTAACAACTGACACAGGTCCTCCTGTCAATCACCCTGAACATCAAACTTAGTCTTTATCTCAATTAAACGGCCTTTAATGTAGAAAAGTAAAACCTGTGATGATGTGAACAACTTGACTGGTGTGAGAAAAATCAATCAAGGCACAAAAATCCTTTGAAATAAAATCTTTTTTAAAATAAATTTTCTCTTTCATCACAAAATGAACATAATTCTGTGATGGTTGGTGTTCAGGGACAGACGGTTGTACACTACACTAACTCCACTTACATCTGTGTGTGTGTGTGTAAAAACACTGAGTGAAGTTCAAACCTGAGTTCGAGTTTATGATCTGCTGCAGACGATCGTCAGTCACATTTAGTCTGAGGCTCAAACCTGCGCATCAGAAACACAGTCAGCTGTTTTAGTTCAGTGAATATTCATCTGCAGTCGGTGTTAACCCTTCAGTGTTACCTGTGCTCTCTGTGTCCAGGTGTTCCAGCTGTTTCTCACCAACTCTCAGTCTCACCTCCAGCTCTAAAGAGGAGACAGGAAATAACATGAGGAGCTGTGTTCAGTTTCTCTGTGTTTTCCACAGACTCAAACAGCTGCTCGCTGTAGTTTCTACCAAACCAACAGGAGGGAACGGTGCATATGTTGGGGATTATTTTCAGTGGCGGATTAATCCACGTTTGGCGCTGCAGTGAGAGCTCGGGGCAGCAGGACGGTGTGTGTGGGAACGCTGGAAACACTGCAGCTGTGTGGCTCAGAGGACTCAGGTAGGAGACAGTGAGTGTGTCCAGGTGAGGACTCACCTGTGCTCCGGCTCTCAGCAGTGTCCAGTCTGGAGCTGGTTTCTGTCAGCAGAGCAGACTGAGCTGCACAGAGGAGACAGAGAACACAGGTCACACTACGAAATAACAATAATATCTTAACATTTCACATCACATTTCAAATCCAGCATTGTTTACTCATCAGCGCTCTCCTTCTTCTTCTCTGCCTTTATTAGAGCACTGCAGCCTATCATGGCGTTTTACTGCCACCTGCTGTTCACTGGAAGAACATGAACACATCGCCGTGTTCATGACCTTTGACCTTTGATCACCAAAGACTAATCCGTTCATCCTTGAGTCCAGGTGAACGTTTTTATTAAATATGAAGAAGTTCCGTCGAGGTGTTACTGAGATATCGTGTCCACGAGAATGAGACGGACAACCTGAAAACAAAATGTCTCCGTCTCTGACAGTCGCCGGCACGGAGACATAATGAAATGAGACAGTTGTGATTCTGAGTTTACCTTCGCTCTTCATCTTCAGCTGGTTCGCTTCGGCCTCAGCAGCTGTCAGCCGGACCTGCAGCACTGACAGGAAGTAACTCTGATGTAGGATCTTTCATTTACAGTATATTATGAACAAGTAGCATAGAAATATATAAAAACAAAGATGTGACATTACCTTGAGTGTCTCTCTGAGCTGTCGTCACTCTGTCACTAACTGACGCCAGCTCAGCAGCTCTGACTGAAAACACCCAGAGCAACACGTTACAAACAGGATGTGATCTTAGAGAACATACATGATCGAGCTCAAGTCACCTGTGTGTTGTGTCGTCAGCTCGTCCAGCTGCTCCTCAGTGTGGTTCAGTCTGAGCGTCACAGCTGACAGCTCCGCCCCCTGCTCTGAGATCAGCAGTTAACACATTAAAGTTTAGATCTCATGTTTGACTGTCGACAGAAAAGTCACGTAAATCCTTTAAAACTGAATCTTTTTTTAAATAAATTTTCTCTTCCATCACAAGATAAACATAATTCTGTGATAGTTGGTGTTCAGGGAGCCGCCCCCATGATCCTCTCTGGTCTCTTTTTACACGTCACAACAAGTAAGACAGCGACTTAGTCAGAAACATACCTGTCTCCAGGTGTTCCAGCTGTTTCTCACTGACTCTCAGTCTCACCTCCAGACCTGAACAGGAAATGATTCATGTTGATATTATCTCCTTTAATATTGTGCTAAAAAAAAGTTATAATTAAGCCAAATTAATTTTTGATAATTAATAAGAGTAGATGATGTCACCTGCAGTGTGAGTCTCCAGCTGTTCCAGATGTGTCTCAGTGGATCTCAGTCTGACATCCAGAGCTGATCCACAACAATTAGATTTATTTATTTACATCAGATCAACCAGGTAAACAACACATAATAATAATGATAATAATAATAATAATAATAATAATAATAATAAAGGAAATATGACTCACCTGTGGTGTTGTTGTTGGTGTCCATCAGTCTGGACTCCATCAGGGAAAATTTAACTAAAAATAAACAAACAAATGAACTTCACCACAGTCCAAATCACTTCAGGAATAATATTTGATTATTGACATGTGATTACACATGTACTGATTCAGCCTCCAGTGCTGCAGGAACATGCTATTGTTGACATGCATGAAAAGGCCACAGGTCAGATTTGAACCTGGGCTGCTGCGGTGAGGACTGAGCCTTAATGGTATGTGCTCCACCAGGTGTGCCACCTGGGCGTCCCAGCCAGGGTGAATTTTAAACCTTCAGTGTTACCTGTGTTTTCTGTCTCCAGGTGTTCCAGCTGTTTCTCAGTGACTCTGAGTCTGAACTCCACCTCTGAAGTGGAAACATTTCAGAGTTCATTCATGTTAATGAAGGAGTTCCTCAGGGAACCTTGTTGGATCCTCCAGAGTTTCAGTCTGAAGAATCACTGTTCAAAAGTAAATATGACTCTACCTGTGGTGTTGTTTTTGCTTTCTGACAGTCTGGACTCCATCAGGGAAAACTGAGCAGACTGAACTGAATCAACAAAATAAATTACAATAAAACTTTAAACTATGATTGTCACAGAATATTTTAATCACACCTACCAGGCAGACACCAAATTAGTTCAGAGGATAAAAATGTAACTTTAAAACATAAAATCACAGATTTAAAACTGTCAGTGATACCTGTGTTCTCTGTCACCAGGTGTTCCAGCTGTTTCTCACTGACTCTCAGTCTGACCTCCAGCTCTGAACAGGAAACAGGAAGTATGAGAGTCAGCACGTTTACTGAGGAGTTCAGTCTGATTATGATTATTGTCTCTTCATATTTAACTCTGCAGGATTCCTCCACAACAGTTTCCATCTAGACAACAACCACAGTCAACTCACAACATCTGGACAGACTGATGAACTAATGAATGTGTGAATGAACAGATGTTTGTACTAACCTGTGTTCAGTTGGTCCAGCAGACTCTCTGTTGAATTGAGTTTTCTCTGCAGGTTGGTCAGTCTGGAGGTTTGATCTGAGAAGAAAACAGGTTCAACCTTGTGTGTCTACCTTTGTGTACCTTAGTGTACTTTACTCTGCCTCATCACACAGTCACTTACCTGTCTGCTCAGTGAGTAGCTGCTGAGCTCGACTCTCAGCAGAGACTTTCTGTCACTGAACTTAACTTTTGTTTGTTAACAGATTTAAAACCTTAAGTGTTACCTGTGTTCTCTGTCTCCAGGTGTTCCAGCTGTTTCTCACTAACTCTCAGTCTGACCTCCAGCTCTGAAGAGGAAACAAATAATAATAATAACAAATATTATTATTATCATTATTATTATTATTATTATTATTATTATTATTATTATTATTATAAAGTAAATATGACTTTACCTGTGGTGTTGTTGTTGCTTTCTGACAGTCTGGACTCCATCAGGGAAAACTGAGCAGACTGAACTGAAACAACAAAATAAATTACAAACAAATTTCAAATTATGATCATCACAGAATATTTCAATCACACCTACCAGACAGTAGTTACAGTTAATTAAAACTGGACATTTCTTTTTTTTATTACAATTATTTAAATTGATGTTGTGATAAATAGATGTTAAATTAGTTCAGAGGATAAAAATGTAACTTTAAAACATAAAATCACAGATTTAAAACCTTCAGTGTTACCTGTGTTCTCTGTCTCCAGGTGTTCCAGCTGTTTCTCAGCGACTCTCAGTCTGACCTCCAGCTCTGAACAGGAAACAGGTCAGAGTTCATTCATGTTAATGAAGGAGTTCCTCAGGGAACCTTGTTGGATCCTCCAGAGTTTCATTTTAAAACCCATCAAATGTTTCAGTTTGCAGTTTTTGTGTTTTTCACACACACATTAATATACATGAGAAGTCAGTGTTGAACCTTTAGAGTATTACCTGTGTTCTCTATCTCCAGGTGTTCCAGCTGTTTCTCACTGACTCTCAGTCTCACCTCCAGCTCTGAAGAGAAAGCAGGAAGTTGAGAAATCAGATAATCAAGAATCATACCTGTGTTTAATATGACTCTACCTGTGGTGTTTGTTGTTGTATCTGTCAGTCTAGAGCCGATCAGGGAGAACTGAGCAGACTGAACTGAAAACACAATCATAGACAAATATAAAATATATCAACAGTAATAATATGCATTACAATTGGAATGTAATTACTATTAAAAAGTTAATGAGAGTTAGTTTTTTCTAGATATATGTTCAGAAGAGCCGTCAGGTGTTTGAAGTTCCTACAAGAGCAATCATATTCATGACGGAGGTCCTCAGAGAATTTACTGGATCTCCTCTGCTTCAGTTTAAATCACTTCACGTTTCCAAAACTGTGATTTTCTCTGTCATTTAATATGGACTTTTGTTTTTTTAATGAAGCACATTAATGTAAATCTCCTGTTTAAATGTTCAGAGGGACTCAGCCTGAAACATACCTGAGTTCTCTGTCTCCAGATGTTCCAGCTGTTTCTCACTGACTCTCAGTCTCACCTCCAGACCTAAACAGGACATGATTCATGATTCATATTTAGAGTTAAGAAGAAGTTAATTAAAAAGTAAAACTGAAGAGCAGATGATGTCACCTGCAGTGTGGAGTCTCAGCTGTTCCAGATGTGTCTCAGTGGATCTCAGTCACGATTGTTCTATTTATATCATTGGCGTCACACGCTAAGTGGTATTATCAGGCAAGTGTCTTTACAGACTTAAACGAGTGAACATGGAGATAATATCAGAATTTCATTTTTCAGTATTCTTACGATTTACAACTATATTAGTCTCCATGATGATATCCTCAACTTAGAGTGATATATATAATCTATCACTCATTGAGTCGATCTAGATTACATTATTAATTATCTTATCTAGTGCTGTACCTCCAGCTCTCGAACAAGAGGAAACAGGTGCAAGAGTTACAAGGTTTATAGAAGGGTTTCCTGCCAGGGTAACCTTGGGATCTTCCCAGGAAGTTCCAATTTTAAAAAACATCCGAATTGTTTTCAGTTTGCAGTTGTTTGTGTTTTTTTCCTACACGCACCACATAATATACCATGTGAAGTCAGTTGCTAAATTTTCAGAGTGTTTTGGGTGCCCTCTCTGTCTCCAGTTTCCAAGGGCTGTATTTATAGAATGTAAGCATTTACTTACAGCAAAGCTCTCAAGTCTGACCTTCCAGCTCTGGAACAGGAACAGTGTTCCAGAGTTCATGTCATTTTAATTGAGAATTCCTCAAGGGAAGCATTTGGATCCTCTCAGAAGTTTCATTTAAACAATCAATGTTTCAGTTTTGCAAGTTGTTGTGTTTTTTCGGACATATCACAGCTATTAATTACATGTGAGATATGTCAAGTTGTTAAATTCTTCAGAAGTGAGCACCTTGTGGTTCTCTGTCTCACTCAAAGTCGTTCCAGGAGCCTGTTTCATCACTGACTCATTCCTCAATGGTTCTGCAGTCACTGACCTCCAGCTCTGAAGAGAAACAGAATGTAGTAGATGTAAGTCACAAGCTTGCAGGGAAATAGGAAACATGTGATTGCACGTAATAAAAGGATCCCCACTGGGTTGTCAATGAAAGGTACAGTGGAAGTGTATAATCAACCGATCGTTACGATGTATGCTGAAGTTCCAAATGCCACACTGAAGCTGTGGATTGTTGGTTGGTGGTGATAAGTGTGTTCCATGTCCTGGGGAGTCCCGATTTGCAGGGAGACTGAACAGAACTTGAAGGACTGAAAACACAATCATAGAACACAATATTCAAATAATTCAATCTACAGTATAATTATATAATGCATTACAATTGGAAGTATTAATATTAACAAAGTTAAATGAAGTGGGAGGATTGATTATTTTATTTATTTTATTATTGTTAAGAAGTTTATTTAATAGTTCAATGGACTAACATGACCATGCCTGGCTTGGTCAAGGTGTGTTTTTGAAGTTTCGTGACAAGAGCTAATCATATTCGAATGACAGAGTGTCCTCATAAGAAATTTTACTTGGGATCTTCCTCTGTTCACGTCCTAAATTGACTTCCACAAATTTCAAAACTGTGAGTTTCTGGTCATTTATATTATTTACTTTTGTTTTTTTTATACAGTGAAACAGGTCACTCGGATAGCACTTCCAGTTCAAAGTCTCGCGATAATTTCTGAAACAATGTTCAGAGTCGCTCACGTCAGATCAATGCTAAAGACATACAGTCACAATTGGAGACAAATATAT